ATCTCGACATTCGCTAAGACCCCTCTGAGCAGATAGATGGTCGAAACGCGGATTAACACGGATTAATATATTTTCCTTCACGCTAAATTAGCGGTCCCATTCTAACATTCGATCAGCTGTAAGCCCGGTCCCTTGAGCTGGGTCCACGGGTGGACGGTACGCTGAGTAAGCTGGAAACAGGCTGCCTGGGTGGTCCACGTGAGAGTGGGTCACGGTGACACACTAACCCATTTCCGCCCAGAGGCATTATAGTTCCTAGACTTATTCCAGCTCTCCAGCTTTCCAGCTTTCCACCTCTCTATCTCCACATCTCCACGTTTCTTCGTCTCTTCATCATTTTCATAACACTGTCAACCAATCTCGTCGCGTTTCCACGCCGTCTATCATGTCTTCTCAACCTGTCAATCCGCCTATGCTGCAGGACCATGATGCCCTGAGAAAAATGTTCGAAGAAAAGGCCGACTCCATCTTGGAATGGCTAGAATCGAAAAGCCAGGTCTCTTATGACTATGATACCCTCCGTGAAATCGGCGTTCTTCTCCACCATATGGATGTCACATATGACCAAGAGTCCCTTGACTTTAAGCTTTTATCCGAGAAAGAATACAGCACATACAAAATCGACAGCGCTAGGATCCCTAAACATATGCGCCATCACTATGACGGTTTTGACAAGGCCTTTCATTTGTCTTTCTCATACCCACTATCAGACCCACTACCAGGCACCGAACTTGTGTATGAGAAGGCCTTTCAAATCGCCAGATATATCGACATCCTTCAAGACTACTCTAAGAAAGATGATCCCGATAATACCTCTTCGATAGAGAAAAACTCGAACTGGTATGAGATCTTGTGAGTTCGGTCTTCCTCTATTTCCCCCTATTACTTATAACTACCAAGAAATTGACTGGTTTATTTATCTAGGGCCGAGGATTCCTTTGAGGATGGGCCACAAGGAATGTTACATGGTTTACATATTGGGCATTCGAAACCTCTCGATCTTTCAAGATGGAGAGCCGTAAGTTACCGACAATGGCAAGAGGACCCTGAGGACCCAGACACAATCCGCCCGCATGTTATGCTTATGATATGCACCGGCGCGGTAGCAAAGTCTAATAACCTTCTCCATGGCGAGATTGGGCCGATTGTTAATACAATCCAGTGCCGTCTCCTCCAGGAGGAGTTTAAGCAGACTTCGAGTTTTCCGGTATAGACCTAGTAATCCCTATTATAAGTGAGCGCTAACCTTATACCACTATTAGGTTCTCGTCATCTCGCTGTTTGGCCCAAGACAGGGGCGTATGCTCTATGCCCGATTCAACATCGACGGTACTTTGATTGTACGAGCGTCAGATATCTTTGATTTCAAGAAGAAGAACCAAGAGGGATTTGACCTCTTCATGCGCTACTACAACTGCGAACCCGAAGATACGGCCGTCCTATCGAAAACTCTCCATCTCCCACTATCACCATCGGCCGTACCTCGCAAGTCCGGAATTGTTGATACCCCAATCACGTCATTCTCCGTATCGGAGAACGTCCCCCACGCGGATTAGAACGGAGTTTCTAGCATTATTAGTGTTATTTCGTGGAGACAGGTGTGAGCGGCCGCTTAATCGTGGAGAAGAATTCGAATGGAGCAGGGCGAGATTGTTCAGTAGCTAGTTACGAGTATCCCATAGCTAAATTGACTGTGCTTCAGCTTTGTGAGCGGGTTGTGCGCGGAACCATTACGGTTAGAAGGCTGAAATAAGAGAAGGCCTCTAGCAGGGGCGTAAGTAGATACCCCAGGAAGCCTTCGACAACGAACGTAAACAAGAAGAGAACATCATCTGATTTGATCTTGTCGGGGAGAGAACGACAGCACAAGTACGGCTCGACAACCATTATTAGTTTGTGTGTGAGCCACAGCTTTAACATTCAGCGAGCACAGTCAGTAGCGATGATTGTCCAAGGTTGCAGAGTGGCGCGAGAACGCCAATGTTGGAATAACGGATGCATAGGGATGTTAGGCAGAATGATGGATTCGGAGCGATGTGGAGCAGCATATGTACCTAGAATAGATATATACTGTGTATAAGACCAGCAAAGGTTGTGCAGAGGTGGCCGGTCCGAGGAAGATACGATTGGCTCCAGGATTGCCCAGAACGGAAGGTCCGAGGCTCTGAGGACAAAGTCGAACTTACAGGATGGTCAGGATATGAGCAGACAGATGTTTATTAGCAAATCGCCAGGCCTATGTAGAAGATCGCAGTACGTAGGTAGCGACTAGCAAAGGAACAGGTAGCGTTGAAATGTGTGTACTGGAAGTGAAGGCAAAGAAAACGAACACAACAACTCTCCTCTCACTCTCTCCTCATCTACTCCAGAATTCACTGTCGTTTATCCACTTTTGTCAAAACTCTCTTCTATAATACCTCTCTGATCAATACATTATCCGCCATCCACAGCTGCCATACGCCTATCAAACCGCGTGTCGAAATGCCGCCGAAAAAGACGATGACAGTGCCTGCAACTGTCGAGGATTGGGAACAGGCAGTGCACCCCGATGGGACCACCATTGTTGACATCAACGCCAGCATTCACGACCAGTACAAGCTTCAATCTGGCTCCGCGATGGAAGAAGAAGACTTCCTACACCTCAAAGCTGTTTGGCAGAACGCAGAGTCGACCAACAAATCGCAGGCACACATTCACCTCAGGCTAGGCGCCTGGTTTAACAAAGCTAGCCAGGATCTAGACAATTATCCGGATTTCAACCGGTACCTTAGTGCAGTTCAGCGGAGAGATGCGCCTAGCTCTCGTATCGGTATGTTCTGGGCTGCTTACGAGCAACAGTGTCAGGTCGCGAAATCGCTTCACGCTACGAGCAAGGTGAAGAAAGCATACGGTATGAACGAAGAGCTTGTCAACATGTCTCTTGTCAACTTCATTCAGGCAGTATGTGCCTGTCATCCTGGTCTAGATATCAATTGCAACCCCGCTAGGGTCCACTTGACCTTCGACTTCAGGCGGGTCAAGGACGAAAAGCAGGCCAAAGCAATTGACTCGAGGGTTCATAGCCTGTCGTGTGAAACCGATGGACTGCTTGAGTCAACGGCTACTGGTCGGATGTATGCGATTCTCGAAGCCAAAGCCAGACCCCGGAAAAAGCATGAGCCGAAAGTAAGTTGGCAAGAGACAGCTCAGATGGTGACCGCCGCCCTTAATGAAAGGGGAACCCCTAAGCACCTCCATCCCGGCCGGTAAGTCTATGAGCGCTTGCTTCACGGCATCATGTACTAAGACGATTATTAGTGTCATCCTTTTCTCGCAGGATGGCGACGAGCTATACGTGTCCGAGGCGACTATCAGGGCAGGATATATCAAGCATATGAAGGACGAACGAAAGGCTCCCACCAGGGTGGACGAGTTTGTTAAGGTTCAGCAATTTGGTCCATATTGGATCCAGTTGAGGGAGGACATGCAATACTTCGCGAAGCTGGTCCTAGCCGTTGCTCTCCGAGCGAGCCAGGAGGAGGCCACTTCTGTTAGCGAGCACCGCCTCCGCCCGCGTGAGGCCTGTTGAGGTCGTGGAGACATTCCCGTTTGTACTCCGGGTTGGAGCAAGTCGCGATGGTCGCACCGAAGAAACCCTTGTTCCTTTGTCATCCCATCTCTCCTCTCTCTTCAACACATCCAATTTCTTTCTAGAATGGACCGATCAAACAAGCCCTCCGCAATTGGAGTGGGAGCTTCCCTTCCCCAGCCCACCCTCTCTGTCAAGGACAATGTCGTCGACGCTTCGTTGCCCACCGGCCAGTCAGAGACCGTGCACCTATACGGCGCTACTGTGACCTCGTGGAAGACCGGCGGCCAGGAGCAGCTGTTCGTCAGTGAGGCGGCTCATCTGGATGGCTCCAAGTCTATCCGGGGTGGTATTTCGGTGGTGTTCCCACCGCGCCATGCAATGTCTGGAGAGGGTCATAGTTTACCATTTTATGGTCCTAACCTGGATGCGAGAAATCGACAGCCGTTTTCAGTTCCCTTGAGTCCTAGGGTTGACCCTTCTGTGCCATACTCCCAATCTACATTTTCGCCAGAGCAGGTCGTTCAGCTTCTCACAATCCAGCAACAAAACGAACTGGTTCTTTCCCAGACCCTAATGAGCGTAGGCAACCCTGCATTTTCACAGGAGTGTGCCTGCGATTTGTCCGTCGACTCTACGTTCTGCCAAACAGCTTTGAGGTGTAGGAAGTCTTCTTCTTCCATCGCGGAGCTAGATTGAAGCTTTTACTGGTCGTGAATGCTGGCGTTGATGTCAACAATGGTGGTCCCATCGGGGTGCACTGCCTGTTCCCAATCCTCGACAGTTGCAGGTTCAGCTTCTTCCGAGAATCCAACAAGAAAACCAACTGACCCGTGTCCAAATTCAATGAAGCATGGGCAACCCTGGACAGCCACAATGTCCAATGACTCTGCAACCGTCATCATTTCCCCCGAGTGCCGAGAGGGATCTAGTAATGAAACTAGACGCACGAATCAAAGAACTGGAATAAAGTGTCCAAAGTCCGGAAGATAAATCCGACCCTTCCCCGCCTCAATGTCAAGACAAGTCGCACCATTCGAGACACAGGGGCCCGCTTCAAGTCCGTTCAAGCCCTGCCCAGGAGTCCTCTGTCTCTCCTAGATCTCCTGCCCATCTCGGTCGCAGACAAAGTCTAGCTCTAATAGATCCGACCTCCCCGACAGGCCCATTGCAAAATAAGACACAGTCTGACCGCGATTCCAAGACTGTGAAAAGATAACATAGTTCCGAAAGGGCCCTGATACCAAAAACCTCAGTCCAATCTAACCAACCCATCGGTTCCAAGAAGCGGTCCCCAAGTCCTTCCAATTGCTACCCTCAACGAAGAAGACTGGCGACCGCGAAGCGGTTGAATCGGATAAACTCCTTGATGAAATGCAAGAGGAAATCGACATGTACTGGGACAGATTGCGTTTTCAACGCATGCAAGAGAAACTTCTGGCCCGGACTCTCCAGGCCCAGTTGAGGGAGCGCCGAGCTCTTTGATATATTCTGAAGAAAGCGAAAGCTGAGCTCAAAGACCTGGACACAGCTGATGTCAGGTCTATATTGGGTCCACGAATTCCACGCACTCAAATTCCAGACTTCATCAGGAGGAGGATATGGGGGGAACATGCGAGGAAGAATAGAGGGGGAGACAGATCCTAGTGTGGATTAGGCGGGTTTGGACCCTGATCGGCGCTTTTGCTTCTTCTTTTTTCTTTGGCTTTTAATATGACTCCGTGTTTCTTACATTCCGGAGAAGCTATCACGAAGATCATACCACAAGTTGTTCTTTAATTGAATTTCCAATACTTGAACTGCTGAGTGTGTGGCTAGCTCGTGGAGCTAGATAAATAGTAAAAGCCCCTACAGAACCAGGTCATCTTCACGTTAAATCGAGAAAGAAAAAGGTATGCACAATATGTACATCTACAGCCTCGGCCCCTTCGAATGTCCCGTATCTATCCCATCAGAACTCTTCCGGTCCGAAACTAACTCCTGCACCCCAGTTTCGCAGTCTAACACTCCGATCTCTGGCAGAAGTTCCTGTTCTTTGGGCTGATTGGCGATCGTTTCTTCCTTACCCTCGGTCCTCCGGCCTGGTGGAATAAACACGTTGTAGTATCTTGGGAACACCAAACCGAGCAGAATCAAGAGCAAACAGAAGTGCGCTAAAATAAACCCAGCGATCACCATTGGGTCGTAACGTAGGGTATAAGATTCAGGATACGCGAAGCTGAACACAATGGCCAGAATAGGCGCATAGACATACCGGAGTAGAATAGGCTAGAAACGAGGGATATTCCAGTTTCTATTACTACTAACGATAGTGTTTAGGTCACATCTCAATTGATTATCCTGGATACGTTAGTTTCTCTTAGCGCGAGCTTGTTAGCAGCGGGAAATATACAGAGTAGAATGCTAGATACTAAAATTGACTAAGGAAAGGGTTCTACCCCTAGAAGCTAGTAGCTCTAATATCCGGGGTTATAACGACGAGGATAGAAATAGTCGAGCAGACGATATATAACCTAAACCTAGTACTAGCGCTAGCTACCGGATTCGAGGTACTGTATATATTGTAATATAGCCTATTAGGCTGACTCTGCGGAAGATAGAAATCTATATAAGAAACTAGATAAAGACGCTCTAGCCGACTGTCTCACTAATAAGATCCTTAGATTCGTGGGTTGCGAGATAGGAGAGCCGCGCTAAGAGTCTTGGGGGGCATCCCAGAGCGGAGATGGTGTGCGATGTCGCAGTCCTGTAGGCGGGATTACTATCATGAGCAAAGATTAGCCAGCTTGGCTCGGTCATGTGAGGTGACCTGCAGGTATCTCATGGTCCACAACGAGTGGATGCAGGGTTCGGAGGAGTGCCGAACGAGCTGAGGTGTCCGAAAAACAGTCGAAATTCCCTTCAGTTGCCAAGGGGCCTCCTAGATTGCGCCTAGGGTGATAGTAGAAACGGATACCTTCTGCTTGCTTCTCCGATAAGAGTTAGATTTTAGGTGCTTACCTATTACGCTGGTTTCATAATATTTTTGATATAGGTGATATAGGTGATTCAGCGGCGTGTGGCAAGACTGATACACTACCTACTCTGTACCGCTCTATGTTTTAGCTTGATGTTGAGCAGATACGTGCGGAATTTGTGACTTCTCGTCCAGAGACCTATAGAATTTCATCCAGGAACCAATGGAATATACTACATATCACTAAACAAAGCTCTGGCTTGGGAAGTTGGGCCTCTGAACTTCGATACTAAAATTTCAACATCTTGAAAGTGAGCGGGACATTAAGTATATAATGAGACAACTTCTACTTGGGTTCATCCTGTTAAGCACTCTATGTCTTAGTGTAAGATTGGGCCGGGCCGTAAAATAAGGATGTAAGTCGTTCCTCGAGCTTGAGTGCTGGTGGTGCCGGTAAGTTGTTATTAAGATTAAGTTCAAAGAGGAATGCTGGATAGTCAAAAGCTTCTCACGGGCTTTCTTATTCGATGGTGGCTCATGGATGTCCTAATCCTGTCTTGGGTTCATCATCACTTTCTCGTTGCCCTAACGGTCTAATGATAATTTTAAATTCATTGGACGCGAATCTTCAGCGCTTGAACGCTCATGAGGATCGTGTGGAGATGGGAGGAGAAGGAGTCCAAGGACTATATAGAAGAAATGATATATTTTCATAAGAGACTGAGATATTATATATGGAGTATAGAGGTAGATACAGGATTGCTAAAATAGATGATGGGAAATGACGTCAGCCTCCTCTTATTTTTCACTCGCCCCTCATTTCCATATGTTTGTATATTGTATGTTATTATCTTCCCATCTCGCATTTCTTCTTGGATAATGTATCGTGATTCTGGCTACCCAATGCCGACGTGGGCCAGGGATAGATGACGTTGTGGAAGGGCGCCAGATTTCCGTCAAGTTTCTATAGTTTGTCCCTCTCTTTTCCTCCTCCTATAGTCCATAGTGAATATAACTGTGTTCCCTCCTTCTCTCTTCCTGCAGTAGCTTTCTCCTCCGCTGACACTTTCCCATATAGTGGAGCCATCTAGTACAGTATGCTCCTCGCTATATCGCTTAGACGGTTCGAGCGTACTCTAAGGTCCTTGAATTTAAGGTCCCTTATGAACGTTACGTATATTATAAACCTAAACCAAGTTTCGCTGAAGTATTAGAGGATCACGTAGTCTAACCTGGTCAGTAGGAAATTATGCACATTTGCATAGCTTCTGCTTTGTGGTCCAACGGGCCTTTTTGCCTTTTTCTTGGTTCTCAATTCTATTATTGTTCTACCTTCTCCATAGTAATATACATATTTTACAGTACTGTCCATGATATCCATACCGACTCTGTACCTGCTCCTTATGCTAAGCTGAGGAATGCTAACAAAATATTGTATGTGGAGTTCAGTAGAGTCAGCTCTGCCTCGGAGTATGTACCATTGAATACTGGAGCGGGGGTTAATGTCCCGGCGTTGATTGCGGAGGAGAATACCACCTGGCTGAGGTCGTGAACGGCGCTTGTTGGAAGGGTATTGCCAATAAAGTATGCACGGATGGCCTCTGTCAGCCCCAACGACGCAATGCTGACTGTTGTATGACCTGGGCCTCGTCTGGTCACCAACCGGGACGCGGTAGCAAGCTGACTCTGCAAACGCTCTGCAGAGGCCAACGGAGTCACGGGGTCATGTTCGCCATTGACAATCAGCACCGGGGTATTTTGCTCAGTGAGGATGGAGTTTGCATCGCGGACTTTCGAGGCTCCCAAGTTCGGGATTCTTGCGCGGGTGTCCGGAAAGTGGCGACAGAAGGATAGGGGAGTCACGTCAGCATTCAGCCAAGGGGTATCCTCGCGGAGAGAGACATTGAGTACTAGGGAAGCAACGTCCGCCAAGGAGATGCCACTGGACGGCGCATTATCCACACACTGCAGGGGCCATTCAGCTAGAGACCCAGTGGCTGGAGCTTTGGAATTGGCTGGCGGACTGGCGGCAGCTGCATTAAGAATGGACACTATTGGAGTCGCATCTCCTTGCTCAAGAGCGCTCACAACTGAGGAGATAAGGGGCCAAGTAGTCGGAACTCGGGAAAAGGACCACATGAATGCGCTGAAGATCCCAACGGTGATGGAGAACCCTTGAGAGACCGGAATGGGATGTTCGTAGAGGGAATCTTGTAAATTAGCAAGTCGAGTGGTCAGGTCGGCAGTTACATTTGCAGGAGGAGTACTCAGAGCACAGCCAGCTGGACCAGCTTGTTCGCAAAATGACACCAGATCGTTGATAGCATCTCGCACGGAGAGTTGGTCATTGGGAAGCTGGGCGACATAGGTCTCAGCATTGGCAGTAGCATCAAAAACGCCGTCCAGGACAATCCTCCCGACCCTCTCCGGATAGGTCTGAATAAATTCTACCCCAAAAATGGTCCCGTAGGAGAGACCCCAGTAATTCAAACGGGCATCTTTGCCGTCCAATGCATCGACAATAGCCCCCATGTCACGAACAACGTAGGCCGCGCTAGAAGTATACGAAGCTGTCGAATTGTAAGATGCACATGCGGCAGCAAGCTGGGCGGTCATGCTGTCAAACTCCTGCATCGCAGCGTTGTAAAAGGGCGTGTAGGATTGGTTTCTGAACTGGCCGTACGCCACGTCAGGCGCAGCTGGAAGCACCTGGGACGCTTCATACTCTTCTCCGGCGGTAGCAAAACATTGCAAGACGGGTTGAGCGGAACCCACACCGCGCGGGTCCCATCCAATTATATCGTAAAACCCCCCGGTGATGTTCGATATTCCTTCCCCGGCGCCGTTCACGACGAAGGAGACACCAGACGCACCAGGACCCCCAGGATTCGTGAGAAGTGAGCCTTTGCGCTGGGATACCTCTACCGTGGCGTTGTATCGGGCAAGCGGAATAGAAGCTGACATCCCGCTCTGTGGCTCCGCATACTCAAGCGGCACTCGGAGGGTTGAGCAATCCAACGCTGGATTTGCAGGACAGGGTGACCATTGAAGGCTGGCAAGAGCCGTAGATGCCGACAGGCATCCAGCAAGAAGGAAGTACTTAACAGAAGAGAGAGAGGACATCTTGTCTTGTGTTCATGGCTCGCATGTGAATTATGACAGAAATCTGGCGGTACAACAATATATGAGTACCCTCAAGTGGTATTGAACTCTAATTGACGAAACTGACAAATCTCTAATTTTAATATGCACCGCGAGCCGACAAAATAAGCATCTTCAACACGTTATCAGCAAAATACAGTAACTAAACTCTATGGCGAAAGCAGAAGGTCAACGGACGTAATAAATTACCATTTATGAAAAGGGCAGGTTAGTGCCTTTCTGGCCATTTATTGGATAAGTTCCGAGCGATTTCCACCACGCCCATTTGCAGTCTGATCCTTCACTCGCCCCGATACTCCTTCGATAATATACACCATACAAGAAAATATTATCAAAGTAGAGAACAATGTAAAAGAGCGCACTCTAACAGTACACGGCACGGTTGAAACTGGCCAGCGGCGAAAGGGCAGTTATAACTCATGGTTACTCGTCACGATCGGCCTTAGTCAAGAGATGTGAAGGCCGATCCCAACAATATTTCGGCCAGACTGAGACATTGGAGTCTCCGGACTGTTCTTTGTCCCTGCTGTAGGAAAGTGGGCGCGGGTTGGATGGTGAGTGTGGCGGAGTGGAGTGGAGCCGATTTCTTGCAGTCTGGTTTGGAGTAGGGTAGTAGATAGTATTACCCTCTTTTTCCTATCTATCTTAATATTTACGTATAAAGCTATATAATATAGTATATATAAGATACTCCTAGAGTGATTTTGGGATATTCTATTTAGAGAACATATTATAAGTAGTAAAGAAATTCAAATAAAATCATAATAGAGTGAGAAAAGAGCCTTAGAGGTTATATTATATATTTTTCTTAGGGCCGGTATAGGCTTGGAATAAGTTAGCCCTTATTACCCTAAGGGTGAGAATTGTCACCCTATTCTTACCTCTCTCACCCATATCACCTATGCTCACCCTAGAGTGCCGCTTAGGTACTAGGGCCAAATTGAGTATTGACTATGTAGAATAATGAGCTTAAGTACGGCTGAGCGGACGGGAAGCCCTGTTTTCCACACCCTATGGTCGTATGTACCGAAATGTATATCGGAATAGGATATGTAGTACGGCAGGTTTTAGATGTCATCGACTAATTCTTCACCGCAATAATAATTCATATATAGGCCAAGCATATGCCTACCCGCCCGGATAATAAGATATTTCTGATTCTTAAACCAAGCTGCTTATACACACAAGCACTTCCAAGACCTCCGATATCCGCGGTTTGGAAACCACCAAAGAAAAATCATACTTACTGTGAAGACAGCAAGTGTGGATGTGGTGAATGAACACACCCGTGAGAATCTGAAGCAGAAGCCGGCAAGAGCCATCGGCGAAATCCCTTTCTCTTTTGCGCATCACACTTTAGCTGTTCCACGTCAGTGTATTGACAGGTCCAGCATTTGTGTATGATTTCTCGGGAAGGAACCTGGAAGACCGTCAAGGCTTGGAAATTGGCCAACAGAATATATTCGCACGATTTATTGGTAGTCACTATCGCCGATTTCGTCATATGGGCGCAGTCCAGTTGTGATCTTGAATATCAGACAACCTAGCGCAAAGATATCTGTCGCGGTAGACCGAGGAGAGTCAGGAGCTATTCGATACCGATCTTCCTCTGAGACAAGAGTGTCTTGTCCTCCAACTCCAATTGCTGAGCCAAAGAAGTCGCAGAGTTTTATGGACAAGTCAGCGACGAGAAAGTTCCGTGTACTGATATCAACATGGACTGCGGCAATGCAATCATTGTTAATTTGACTAAACCCAATTAGGAATAGATGATCTTGGCTCAGGTGGGTACCCGTCCGTGGATCTACCACGGCGCCGTGATCGGTGATGAGCTAATCCGTGTAGTTAGCATCCTTCATCTCTACTAGCCAAGATATCAATCCAATGCACGTGTCTTCGGCAAAAATTCCTTTTCCAAGGTTGGAGTTTATATGGCTCAAGCACTTCAATCTTGGCTGGCGGTATATCTTTTACACACTACTCGACACCTACTAAATTTGTTCGAATGAATGTGATAACTGGCATCGAGTGACACAGATACTCTAGATCACCATTGGAGAGTGGAACAAGCAGACAATCGAGTTGTGTGATTAATTCAATAAGCTAGGCTATAAGGTAACATCTTTGCGTCGTTTCCCAAAAAGGAAAATAATTCGCCCTCGCGGAGGGATCCCGACGGGGCCATGCTAAGCTTCACGCACTGACCCCCGAAGGTGGCTAATTAGACGATTATGGCGTAATAACATAGTACGATGGTCGCAGCTGAAACACACGCTAAGCTCAAGGAGTCTCCACAGTTCTAAGAGTGCTTGGTCTATAACTATTTCCCCTTAAAATAGTGTGATTCTCTGAAAGATAGGATCAGCTCGAGATTGTTATACTTACAAACTGCAAATCGAGAATCTGCCCCGTTTCCTATGGGTATCACATACAACTTGGACCGAAAACAGGGACTTTATCAAAGTATAATCAGATACGTCTTCTCCGGGCGCGATGATGCCATTTCGGCCCCATGCCGACGAAGAGAATATAACCTGGAAGTCAAGAACTATGAATTTCAGTTATCTGAAAAGATGAGTACAATATCCCCTAGCCCGAAAAATGCCACCAGCACAGTGGCTCCCGTCGTCGAGACCCACCTGAAAGAGGAGAGATCTCTAGTAAGTATCATGACCTCTAACGCATGGACTTATAGACTAACGGCTGCAGGTATGGCGTCTGGATCTGTTTTTCTTGACCATTGGTTTTCTAGGCTATGCATTCAAATATCTGGACCAGACGAATATTGTGAGTACGTTCGCAATCTGGAAAAGAACACACTCTGACTGACTATCTGATAAGAGTAATGCCTATGTCTCGGGAATGCAGACAGACTTGAAGCTATATGGCAATGAGCTGAACTACTTTACAACCTTTTTCAAGTAAGTTGTTCATTGTTTGATAGTGATGTCCCTGCTGATCCGCAATAGCATCGGGTATATGGTTATGCTGTATCCCTCATGCATCATAATCTCCCACATCGGTCCGTCAGTCTGGCTACCTGCCTGCGAAGTAAGTTGAATAAATCCAAGGCTTATATGGATGGGATTGAATATACTGACAACAGATAGGTGATTTGGGGTGTTTTGACTTGCTGTTTATCCACTGCCACTAGTGCAAAGCAGGTAAATACATTCAAACCCCTCGATAATATCTTCCCCAACTCATAGAATCCTAGGTATACGGTCTTCGATTCCTAATCGGCTTTTTCGAAGGTGCCACTTGGCCAGGTTATTTTACTATCATCAGGTGAAACGCACAGCTGCTCTGCCACCAATATATATACTGACCTTGTCCAGCCAATGGTATCTCCCCGAAGAAATGGCTCTTCGCATGAGTCTGTATAATATTGCCCAACCGGTCGGAGCCATGTTATCTGGTGCGATGCAAGGTGCTCTTTCAACGAACCTCGAGGGTGCTCTTGGTCGGAGCGGTTGGCGGTGGGCGTTTATCATCAATGTAAGATATTTGGTATCTACAATGGGGAACACGTCCTAATCTTCTAGGGTGTCTGCACTATTTTTATTGCATTAGTTGCATTTGTTCTCTTGCCAGGATTTGTATGAACCTGTCTACTCCTCTAGCTTCCTTGCAGCATGCTAACAGACCCTATCTAGCCCGATCGCCCCAATCCGCTTGCCAAGATATACCTCAGGCCTCGAGATATCAGTATGTATACTATTCTGGAATCACATTATTAGAAATACATCTGCTAATATAGCAATGAAGTCGTCGCCAAAGAGCGAACCCGTCGGATCAACCGCAGTCCCCAGGTGGGAATCACTGTCAAATCATTCCTGCGCAGCTTCAAATTCTGGCATGTCTGGTTATTTGCAAGTGAGTCGACTATATCTATTCTTTTCTTTTCCAAGCTAGATCATTCTGACACTTTATAGTTTCCTGGTCCATTGGCACGGGAACTACACCTGCAAATTACTTCAACCTCTGGCTCAAGTCCTTGAAAAACCCCGACGGAACGAAGAAATAGTAAGAATCAGCCCTCCTCTTTCTGGCGACAAACCTGACAGTGTCTTCAGCTCGGTCGCTATGCTTAACTACCTGCCGATCGCGGGCCAGGCTATACAACTGGTTGCTGAGCTTTTGTTCAGCGGCTTCAGTGATTATCTGGGAACCAGATTACCATTTTTGCTTCTTCACTCGGTGAGTATATCTGGCGAGCAGAGTAGAGCGGCACCTATGATACTAATTTATATTTTCTAGGTCATAAATATCACATCTCTTATTATCTTGATCATACGGCCTGCAAATGAACATGCGTACATGGTCGGTTGGTATATGAATTACATCGGAGCGTGAGTGCTCCCATTCTACTCAAAATTTGCAAAGGTTTTTTCTCTGACTGAAATAGTGTGTCGACTATGCTACTTTGTGCATGGGCATCTTCCTATCTAGAGAAAGAACCACAAGCCCGAACAGTCCTTTTCGCCACTGGAACTCTCTTCTCATACCTGTTCAGTGCCTTCTTGCCCATTGCGGCGTACCCGGCTTCGGAAGCACCCCATTGGAGAATTGGTGCAAAGCTCTATCTTGGTCTCTCTTGCTTGGCTACTGCACTCTTCGTTGTCATCCATTTGATTCTCAGACATGAGGCAAAACGAGATAAGAGAAACGAGACGGCTGAATCTAGGTCCGAAGAATCACTGTAATGGGAGTCTATCCGTGAAGGGGATGCGATATCGATAGGTAGAGCGGCTGTGATGCATATATATTACGTGACTACAATACGAAGGAGAACCGATCAATAGAATATATGAATGATAGCCGATTATAATCTAACTGCTGCCATACAACTCTCTCTAGTTATAGCTACTAGACGATCACGCACAGGTTATGAGATCGCGAAACCAGGACCGAAAATACACCAGTAACTATTTGGTGGCTCCTCGCACACGTATCACGTATATGGGCGACGAATCGTGCCACTACGACAATGGGACTTTTTGGCTCACCGCTCTAATCACCGCCTTAGTAATTATGGTTTTAGGACGGTTCCATGGATATCTCCTTTGGTAAACACTGCTGGCATATGGTATATAAAATCGAAATAAAGCAATTGAGAGATGAAAAACTAAGAGATCACCTGTTCTACCATAAAGCTATTCAGAGATCACCTGATTTATCATTATAAAGATTCGAGAGATTACATGATCTATTACGGAGTATCATGAAGCTATTCGGAGATCACTTAATCTATCACTATGGAGCAATTGAAATTAATTCTACTACCACTAATAATAGAGATAATTAAATCCCAAAAACGGCATTTTAATACTAGATACTACTTATTATCTAATTAATTAAATACAACCGGTATTTTACGCTATTCATGGTTCAATTGTACGAAGAAGTGATTTAATTTTGACGATATAGATCAGATGCTACGGAGTACAGAGTAGTCCAAGAAGGTAAAAATAAAATGTTGTGCGCAAATGGTAAGGTATTATATAATCAGATCACGTGCGTTGCCGACTAATAATACTGGCAGAAATAACAAGATATACAATATAGTCGTAAGAGTTGGGGGAGGGGCCCTTTTATACCCCAAAACCACGTGCCTTCCTAAAATGCGACAGTTCCCTCGAGCCTTCTTTGTCAATGTCAATGTCAATGTCACATGCATTGCACCTTCTTTGTTTGCCTTCTTTGTTTACACGGGGAACTTTCAATGTTTGGGAAGGAACGACATTGGCTTCAGGGCATCAAGTGCAATTGAAGTCCGATATTAGATCGCTTAGGGAATGGGAAGATTGGAAAATTCAGTCCAAGCCTAAAATATCTTCCAAAAAGATCAAAGATCGTGCTGAAATTGTTGAAATCTGTACCAGCTGGATCGATGAGTGGCGTCACCGTCACCCCCAACACAAGAACCCTCCCATTGCTGCTCACTATTTCCTCTTGCTCATCTTTATCATCACGATGATCGCATGGTATAGATAATTACCTCTCTATATGTATAATTGTAGTATCCCTAGGTAGCAGCTCTATGAATTTCTTTATTGCCAGCGATGTACTCGCTTTTTTCAAACTCAACCTGCTATGAGGATCATATACTATACTAATACATCTTTCAGTACATACGACCATAGGGTGTGGAAAACAGGGCTTCCCGTCCGCTCAGCCGTACTTAAGCCACACGCCGGTGAGTTAGTAGTTGGGTGGGTGACCACCAGCGAATCCTCACTGTTGTATGTTTTT